GTGTCAATTCAAGGCTATTTACGTCATTTATGACACAAGATCTGCTTCTAATAACTCCTTAGAATTGTTATCAAATGTTGTGATTTTACATGCTTTTATGAATAATTGATGTAATACATAAATGAAAGTTGTTATTTACGCATCATCATGTGGTTAGTTAAGATTTTTGCCGCTTTCTAAATTTTAAATCACAATGAAACTATCCGTGCGGTGCCTAATAAATGTATTTCGGGCCTTCCTTAATGTAGCTGAGCGACATTGATGTTGAAAGGCTGAACCTAATTCCAAGACAAGAGTTTAAGTCTTTCCATGTATCTTAAAGATATATTAACAAGTCCGCAATCAAAGGAGAGCCATTATTGCCCATCGTATTCCAAGAACATATTGAGAGAGAGAGAGAGAGAGAGAGAGAGAAAGAGAAAGAGAGAGAGAAAGAGAGAAAGAGAGAGAGAGATTTGCATTGTTTACAACTTTTTATGGTAATCTTAAGATGAGTGATGATTTTCAAACTGCTTTTTTTTTCATAAATGTATTATTCCCAGCAGTTATATTTTGAAAAGTCAACGAATTCTGTCGAGAAGATAGAAATTAAGATAGAACACAACAATCTTTTCATTTCTATTTATCAAATTATAGATTTATAATGGTCATTTCATTTTAAACCCAAAACAATCAAATATTTAAATAAGGTATTTACAAACAAACCAAAGTACACGATACTCGGACCATGTATTTTCAATTCACATGGAAGTACTTTACAAAACTATAATTCAGATTCGTAATTTCTTGGACTTACTTTGTGCAGAATCGTGGAAATATAATTCGAAATTGAAATACTATGAATAAAATTTGTTCATAAAGAGCAATTTGAGGATTATAATTACACATTTATTGCAGCAAGCTTAAAGAACTTCCTTATACATTTCTTTACAATTCATTTAGAGAGGAAATACCAAGGAAACATCCTAAAATTTGTACCTGAACTGCGTATTTTTTCGTTGTTTCCTTGATGGTACACCATGAAACAACATAAATTGCTACTTTGAACCTGCCCAGTGCAAGATATTACGAGGTAATTGAAAAAAAAGTATTAAAGAGTATATGTATCGGAGATATCTGATAGCTGAAACAGTGTAGACGTACATAGGACATTAAATAATGTGTATTTCATTCTAAGATTTCATATACATGTAAGATGGTTGTATTCACAAGAAGAGTATGTTTGGGATCGTTATTATTGTACATTCCTATAACAGCCGTTAAGTTATATAAATGTGGAGAAAGGTAGTATAATATAATTGAAAATAGACATAACAACCAATGGAAAATTATAGTGTTTTTGCGTTAATTATGATGCTTTTTTGTGTAAAGGTGCTGCATCAACTATTACGATCACTGGAATGGTTCATGTGTTGGTATGTACCGTACTGTGTTTCTTGCAAATACTTAATACATGTATCTGAAACCGATGGTAGGTGTGTCCTCCCACTGAACCTTAAATGTTCCAAATTTCTTCGCAGAATGTCCTCATGGCACATATGGCTTAAATTGTACTGGTGAATGTATCCCAGGATACTTTGGAAAGTTCTGTCAATCAGAATGTAGCTGTGCTATTGAAATGTGTAGCAAGTCATATGATTGTCCTAAACACAGACATGTTCCGACTGGGAAGTATACAATTGTTTTTAAATTATGAATACTTGGACAAAGGAGTATTTGTTATTTCTGTCTATTTTTGAAAATTTGTTTCATAACCTCCTAGTTATTCAATTTATCTAAAATTGGTTTGATAGTTAATCGAGGCACAACCCTTTTAAATTTATCACCGAATTAAGAAGCAAAAATACTTCAGAAATTGATACTGTGCATCATTTTTTGTCATTGTGGAGATAGCATTAAAATGATGTTCCAATCAAAGTTAATACAAGAAATTTTTGAACATTTAACTTAAAAAAGAGAAAAGATTTTGAGGAGTCATTTCCTTGTAAACAGATGAAAACAGCGATGCTTGGGTAAATGTAGCACACGTTCTACTTGGGTCCATCATAACCATTTTTATCGTCACCATTCTGCTCTTCATTAAGTGTAGGTAACACAATCTACAAACATTACGATTTGAATATTTAGACTGAGAGCAAAAACTTGTTATGGAAATACATATTCAGTAATCAAATTTAATGAGATCAGTTTTATTAACTTTAAATACATAGACTGCAGTGTTATTTGAATAGGCTTTGCAGACGTTATGCTGTCAAAAGAGAAGTAATCATTATTAACCTAACTCTATGGGTAAGTCTTTATTTAGAAAGGCATCAGCAAAAGCATGGGTTTTCATAAAAATGACAAACATGTATTCATAGCAACACGTTCTCCCATTCATTTTTAGTGAAAAGGCAATTAGAATTATTCATGGAACTTTGATGTCACATACATTTGTGCAATTGAGATGAATCACAGCAACCACTTTCTGTTTGAAGAAAATCATGAAGAGCACGGATATGAAAGTGGAAATACTGAAACATCAGAAGAAACTCAAAACATAACACAAAGATTACAAGAGAATTCATAAGAGAACAATTACTCTGATCTCAGCTTCCTCGAAATGCACGATGTATGTGATAAATGGAGCCGTGTCGATCCAAAAGCACGGAATGTGAACACAGTTCCGGAAAATGCATTTGTAATTGGTGTCTATGAAGATGTTGATGACAATTAGGAATGTTTCAGTAGCAGAGCCATATGTCAAAATTTATTTTATGAAATAGGATGTTACTTGTACGACTGATATAACGCTATAAAAATAAAAAGGTTGCCAAAAAAAAAATCAATAAAAAATGTTTATTTATCAAAGTTTTAAATAAAAAAAAATCTGTCGACAAGCTTCACGGCGTTCCGAATGTCAGAAATCTTGGTGCATTTTTCGATCGAATCCTATCTTTTGAAAAGCAATGTAATGCTGTTTCACGGACATGCTACTCGCAAATTCGCAAAATAGGACGCATTAGACATTTTCTTACGGATGGGGCATGTAAAACACTTGTCCACTCTCTGGTGACGTCACGATTGGACTATGGTAATGCGCTCTTATTCAACATAAATAGCACATATATTAGCAAATTCCAGAGAGTTAAGAACACAGCTGCTAGACTCATTACCAGGACAGGCAAGCGTGAACATATTCATCCCATACTTGTTGAGCTACATTGGCTTCCTGTCAAATGTAGAGTGCAATACAAACTATGTGTTTATGTCTTCAAAGCACTTCATGGTTTGGCACCGACTTATCTTTCTGAACTAGTTCGCGAATACAGACCCGCTAGGTCACTTCTCTCGATTTCGTCAATCAAGTTGGTTGTGCCTCGAGTCCGATCAAAAACATACGGTGATCGTAGATTCGATAGAGTTACTCCAACACTTTGGAATCAACTTCGACAAGTTCACAAATTGGAAGTTTTTAAAAGGGAACTTAAGACTCATCCTTTTAAAAAAAGCCTTTATTTGAAGTGGAAAGTGTATATACGTATGGCTTGTTTTAATATCAACTTGACTGTATTTTTAGAATGTCTTACTATTTTACAGGTGATATAAGATTGTTTTAGTCTTCCATTTGTTATGTAGATTGTTATATCTATGTAAAGCGCTTTAGAGTTCACATAAGATAAGGCGCTATATAGAATTTTATTATTAAGGTCTTCCGTTTTCACGGAAGACCTTATAGTGATTCTACTGTTTCTTATTATTATTATTGTTATTCTTATTTTTCCTCCCATATTTTGTGCACGCGTTTTCTCAAAAACTATTCAGTGGTTTTCAGTGATTTTTTCAGGGATAATGGACATTATTATGAACTTTGTGCATTTGAGGAGAAAATTCAAAAAATCTTTTTCGGTTCCATGTAATGGCCAATTTTCTGATTTTGAATTGGATTTTGTCTTCCTATCTCCTCTAGAATGGCTAAAGATATGAACTGGAGACATGTCAAAGATGATAGAGCATGACTTGTAGATGTTCTGACCAATTTTATGTGTGTCGTCGATGCTTTCGGTCACCACCAGAAGCGAATTTCAAAAAAGGATTTTTTTCAACTTTTTTGTTTTTCATTATTTTTCTTTGATATTATTATGGTTAATAGAAACACTTCTAAAAATTCTTAATATATATTTTGTTTTAAAATTGATAAATTCAAACTCTAGATATTTGCATTTTAAAATTTGAAGCGGGGTCAAAATGGCGGCCGTCTCCGTAAACTCCGACGAGCTGGTCGGAGTTTACGGAGACAGCCGAACGTCTTGTTGAACGAAACTAGCAAAAGGATCAATAAAATGTACAGGAATTATTGGATCTGGAAGATTTTGGAAATGGATAATCTGTCTTTGAAAACGTAAATACTCTGGCCTCCAAATGCAATAAAATTAGTAGTATTTTACAATAATATATATGATAATGGAAACCATTCAATAGAACAAACATTTTAAAGAAAAGCGCGAAGATTTGCTCGTGACGTTTGGCGCGAAATAATGTATCGTAACACCCATCCCTTTTCATAGTACACAAATGGTCTGATACAGAAGAGCAGAAAAAGATAACATTGACATGAAATACGTGTATATGGAATTGCATGGAATAAAAAGTTGAATATATATGTATAAGGAATAAAAGAAGTAAACAGTATCATCAGTTCATCAGTAAAAGATTATTTCTTCTGCTGACAGTTATTGTTTAATTCAACTCAATTAAGGTGATTCGAACCTGACGAATTCAAATCTACCGCGCAACTCGAACTGCTGAAGATAGGCTGATGTCGTGATACTAATAATTGCGACTCATTTGTTATAGAACTAATTTATAGGGTCACAAACAACAATTTGATTGTCAAATAAAGTAATTTTCATTAGAATATTCATACTATTTATCAAAATTAGCTTTTTGAAAGTTCTTCCGACATTGGGAATTTACGACATATCCACGCCGTTTTCCGTCGCCATGTTGATAAAAAGACGGTCACTTACATTTTCAGAGAAAAAACACTGTATATTCGGTTGTATTTATATGCAAGAAGTCTATGAATATATTCTGTTTGGTATCTAACAACAACTATCCAGACGATTTCATTTCTGGGTACAAGATCACGATGTTCATCATGATTTTCACGTAAAATGCATTCCAAAATCAAAACAGAAAATCTTTTTTTCTGTTTTAGGCATTTTGCCCTCAGGTATTGACAAAATCTAACAAAAAACACAGTTTTGTAAGACATTTATTCATAAGATTGTGAAAAATCAGCATTTTTTCTAATGGATACACGATCTAGTGTCACAAATAAACTGAAATTTAAATATTTGGAGGACCTATTGACAATTTAGCAAGACTTTACAGGGTAAATTTCCCCCGAAAGAAAATCACTGATTCACATCTTAAAGATAGCAAAAACATACAGGGTAAATTTCCTCTCAAAAATGACATTGAAACAGTACCTAAAGTAATTCAAAACAAAAGCAACAATCTTTTAGATAGCAAGACTTTTTCGGGGTAAATTTCCCCCCACAGAATATCACTGATACAGTTTTCACTACTCTTATAAAAAGCTAACATTACACTTTGAAAATAGCAGAACTCTACAGGGTAAATTTCCTCTCAAAAATATGACATTGATTCAGTTTATGGACAGTGTTTGAAAGCAAAAGCAACCATCTTGATGATAGCAAGACTTTACGGGGTAAATTTCCCCCCAAAGAAAATCTCTAATACAGTATTTATGATTCGCAAACATCGTGAAGATGGCAACAATCTACATAGTAATTTTTCTCTCAAAAATAATATTGATACAATTCATACACAGTATTTCTAAGCAAAACACCAATCTTGTAGAAAGCAAGATTTTACGTGGTAAATTTCCCCTCCAGAAAACATCATTAGCTGACACAGTATTCATTACTCTTATAAAAGCGAACATTACACTTTGAAAATTGCAGAACTCTACAGGGTAAATTTCCTCTAAAAAAAAACATTGATTTAGTTTATATACATTGTTTGAAAGCAAATGCAACCATCTTGATGATAGCAAGACTTTACGGGGTAAATTTTCCCCCAAAGAAAATCTCTAATACAGTATTTATGATTCGCAAACATCGTGAAGATGGCAACAATCTATAGAGTAATTTTTCTCTCAAAAATGATATTGATACAGTTTATACACAGTATTTCAAAGCAAAAACAACCATATTTTAGATAGCAAAACTTTACGGGGTAAATTTCCCCCAAAAGAATATCACTCATACAGAAGTTAGGCTTCACAATATCTTGGTGGTAGCAAAAATCTACAGGGTAAATTTCCTCTTAAAATAATTATTGATACAGTTTATCTTATAAAAAGCGAACATTACACTTTGAAAAATCGCAGAACTCTACAGGGTAAATTTCCTCTCAGGGATGATATTGATACAGTTTATATACAGTATTAAAAGCAAAAACAGCCATCGTTTAGATAGCAAGACTTTACGGGGTAAATTTCCCCCCAAAGAAAATAACTGATATAGTTTTTATGATTCACAACATCTTAAAGATAGCAAAAATCTTCAGGGTAAACTGCCTCCCAAAAATAACATCGATACATCTTCCATATATTAATTCAAAGCAAAAGCACCAATGTTTTAGATAGTAAGACTTTACGGGGTAAATTTCCCCCCAAAGAAGGTATCACTGATACAGTATTCACTACTCTTGTAAAAAGCGAACATTACACTTTGAAAATCGCAGAACTCTACAGGGTAAATTTCCTCTCAAAAATGACATTGATTCAGTTTATATACAGTGTGGAAAGCAAAGGCAACCATCTTGATGATAGCAAGACTTTACGGGGTAAATTTCCCCCAAAAGAAAATCACTGAAACAGTATTTTTGATTCGCAAACATTTTTAAGATGGCAACAATCTATAAGGTAATTTTCCTCTTAAAAATGACATTGATAAGTTTATATACAGTATTTCAAAGCAAAAACATTCATCTTTAAGATAGCAAGACTTTACGGGGTAAATTCCCCCCAAAGAAAACCACTGATACAGAATTTATGCTTTGCAATATATTGGAGGTAGTAAAAATTTACGGGGTAAATTTCCTCTAAGAATATTACTGATACAGTTTAGATGTACATCATACTTAGAAAAAAACAAACATTAAACTTTGAAAATAGCAAGTATGTACGGGTTAAATCCTTCCCTCCCAAAGAGTATCAATAATACAGTTTATATTATTCAAAGCATGACCAAACACTGCAACTCGATGATAGCAAGACTTTACGGGATAACCCCCCCACCCCACCCACCCCCCCAAAAAAAAGAATGCCAATTATGCAGTTTATGTAATTCACAGAATAAATCAACTAACTAAAAACTAATTCTGTATATATTGTTTACAGAAAAGCATACATTACATCTTGATGACAAAAAATTTCATATTAAAGAATATTAAAAATATATTATTTTTATATCACAAACGATACTTTTATCTTAATATCATGCAAGCTGGAAAAGCTACATATTAAAGTTAACATAATATTAAACCTTCTAAACATAGAAAAACATACAAAAACATAAAAAAAACCTCTGACATCTTTCTTTCTCTGTTAAAGGTATAAGATTTCTTTGTGCCCCGTTACACTTTCTTTATTTAAACAGCGTCCTTCTTTAATATCTTTGACCGAAGTTCCAATACTATGCTTTTCTCTTGGCTGATACACTAGACAGATTGTAGAGTGCATTTTCCAACGGAAATCAGGCAATCCTATTCTGAACCAATCCATAGTCGACCTATGGATGAAAATTTTAAGTCTCATAAACTTCAATTTTCCAAAGCCTTAGGTATTTATATATGATTTCATGACAGATATGACTGGTTTAATATTGCGCACTAGAGTAGATCAGCAGGTGCCTGCTCCGAATTTTTGTAAAACAGTCTTTCTGTTTATATTGCATGGAAATTGCATTCATCTAAAGAACCCCCCCCCCCCCCCAATACACACTCATATACACACATACATTTATACATGTTTCTGAGAATAATGCTCATTCGTGATATGGATCTACATAAGATAATCAAAAAAGTTACTATAGTATTGTATTTGTATTGTACATGTATTACTGATGCCCTCTAGGTCCATCATGGACATTTTTTAAGGGGAAGTGAGAGAGGTAACTAATAGCATATGCAGATAGTTTTACTGCAACCTAAATGTTGGTTAAAGTTTAACATTTCAGCTTCAGTTATTAAACCTAAAAAATATATATATCGTGACATATATAAAATTGTATATTTACCTTGTTTGTTCAAGATTTGGACTTGAATTTGTAGTTCAGTTCCAGCACTAAGCAGTCTCTTTTGTATCGAATCGTCCATAAAAGTACACTTTTGAAACATGCTTAAAGTACTTGCGTCCACAAAACTGAGAGGTCATCTAGCTTGGTTTCCTTTCCCTAATTTGCTTAGTGTTCTGTGTGACCTTTGGCATGGATGAGCCAGGGAACAAGGCAATGAACGTCGGCCATATCAATATGGCCAATAATATTTAAATTCCCAACTCACTATTCATCATATAGTGTATATTACAGGGAAACGGACAAATTGCTTTCAAGGAAAATGAGTGAATTTATCAATGGGTGGTTGCGAGAAAAAAAATTGAGGTGATCAGTTTCTCATCACTTTACTGTTTACTCTTCCGCTGCGTGAATTCCAGATGTCAATCAACCCTTTTATTGGATAGCATTGCGGTCATGTCATAAATCTGACCCAAGCTAAAATAATTTCTACATTTTCTCAGCATCCATGTCTTGATCTATAAAAAGCACAGGTTGACCTTCTTAAAACTTGGTGACATTTTACATTTTGCTTTCTATATTCTGGTGTCTACCTTTCCTAGCTGTATTCTTTGCGGAGTATCGGATGTTAAGTGCAAAAATTAATGAAAGAAAGATAGACAAAAAATTTAAACATAAGATTTTTTCATGTACATGTACCATAATTACAGTAACGAAATCTATCTACTTTTGTTGTTTATATTTTTATCTTTTACGTCTTTTTTCCGAAATTATAACACGTTATATTTTGTATACACGTACATGTGTATATGTACAGATTAAGAGAAATGTACATGAATAAAAAGATAAAACTACTGGTATACATGGTAGAGGCCGTGAACCATTATTTTAAACAGGCTCATATCGGCGATCGTACATTTGATAAGTAGAAAGAAGAAAAAAGGAATTCCCCGAGTGTTTTTCGAGTATTAATCTCAGCTAACTTCTTATGATACCATTTTTGTGATTAATTTTAATAATTGAATATTTAAACACTGCACATATAGGCAGAATTATTTATGAAAATTTTCAAAAAACAGAATTGTTACTTAGCAGACATTTTCGACAATCGATTATGCCGGAAATGTCCGAGATGATTGCGATTGTCATAGTCAAGGTCATTCTATTTTAGTTCAAAAACGTATCCTTTACAATTACTTTCTCTATTCCACGTTACACAATTAAAACAATTCCGCGCAGCCAAGTACAGATGACTATCAGATTTTCAACCCATTAGTTCACGATTAGTAGCAATGTGTGCTCAGCATGTATGCTTTAGGTACTCAAAGGCAATGATATCGCATTGCCCATCCTGCAGAAGTCACCATGCAATTCAGTCAATTAATTAGAAGAAAACAATTCTTTTACACTCTATTGCTTAGCATGGTATTACAAGATATAAAGAAATACACAAAGAATGCATAGTTTTTTTAATGTCAAAAATGATGTACTCATAAATTTATTTTTTTTTAAAGTTCGGAATAAAGTTCTATTAATATTGCTTTTTTAATAGCTTTTTTTTTAATTAATTTTTCTTTTTATAACTTAAAGGAGTAGCCGTAAAGATAGATGAACTTTCTTAGGAAAGAATAACTGTTCATGATTTTTGTTACATCTTGAAAAAAAAAAAAAATTCAACAGTGCAATAAAATACTGCCACATTAATGAATTATGCATATGCGATTGCAGTAGAGTACATGTAAAACAAGTAACTTAGTATAATGGAATGAAATTCAATGACCTTGAAAAATCAACAAATTCAAAGAGGGCAGCTTGTACATTGCAAGAAATCCCGTCCGATTT